CTGAAATAGCAAACACTGTAATTGGTACAGCCTGTAGATTAGTGATAAAGTTTATGGTCTCAAGTGTGTCCAGGAGCCCTCCCAGTGTAAGTCGTCAGCTTGCGATTTGACAACTTACCTGGGTTCCACTGGGTGTTGGTAGCACCTTCCTGTGCTGGCAGGTCCTCCCATGGAAAGTTGTCAAGCTGCAGTGGTAATGCTGCGTGGATTGTTAAAGATTCAAAGTGCAAATAATCTATATTGTATCTCCAAATATTTCATATACAGTATAATGGCAACCTATGTAAAACTTGTGCGGTATACTTTAATAACTCATTATTCTGTTGCAGGCCAACTGAACATCCAGAATGACAAACATGCTTCAGAGTTAGGTTTTTTATTTTTTTAAGCTTGTTTTTTTATATTTATACACTTTTTAAAATATTTTTTTATTCACATGTTTAAAATCACTGAAAGTTTAAATTGTAAAGTCTGCAAAGGACCAGGGCCGCCATCAGAAATTTTGGGGCCCCTAACACAGCTCAAGGTCTGGGCCCCCCTTCAAGCCTGCCTCCAAATCCCGCCCACAGGAATACACACACACTAACAGATACAAATACTGAAACAGACATACACACATGCATAGGGAGATGCTGAGACACACACACATATACAAGCAGACATACATACTGACAAACATACATATACATACTGCATATTGATATATACATACATACCGACAGGCATACATACATACATACAGACACACACAGGCATGCATACAGACACACACTGGCATACATACACACATACACTGGCATACATGGGCATACACACACATGCACTGGCATACACACACTGGCATACACACACACACACACTGGCATACATACACACATACACTGGCATTCATACACACATACACTGGCATATACACACTGGCACACACATACACTGGCATATACAATGGCATACATACACATACACTGGCATTCAGACACTGGCATACACACACATACACTGGCATTCATACACCAGCATACACACACACATACACTGGCATACACACACTGGCACACACATACACAATGGCATACACACACTGGCATTCAGACACTGGCATACACACACATACACTGGCATTCATACACCAGCATACACACACACATACACTGGCATACACTGGCATTCATACACCAGCATACACACACATACACTGGCATACACACACTGGCATACACACACATACACTGGCATACACACACTGGCATACATACACCGGCATACACACACATACACTGGCATACACACACTGGCATACACAAATACACTGGCATTCATACACCAGCATACACACACACATACACTGGCATACACACACTGGCATTCATACACTGGCATTCAGACACACATACACTGGCATACAGACACTGGCATTCATACACACATACACTGGCATACACACACTGGCATTCAGACACATACACTGGCATTCACACACATGGCACACACATACACTGGCATACACACACTGGCATACACACACATACACTGGCATTCATACACCAGCATACACACACACACACACTGGCATACATACACACATACACTGGCATACACACACTGGCATACACACTGGCACACACATACACTGGCATACACACACTGGCATTCAGACACTGGCATTCAGACACATACACTGGCATTCATACACACAGACACTGGCATACACACATACACTTCATCCCCAGCCACCCTCCTCTCTTCCTTACCATTTCGTCGCAGGAGGGTGGCTGGGGATGATGGGCATCGGCTGCCTCTCCTCATGCTGCGTCCTCCTTCCCGCGCGGAGTAAAGTGGGAGGAAGTGACCGGACGTCACTTCCTCCCAGCAGCACTTGCTTCCGGCTGCATTTTTTTTTTTTAAAGGGGCCCGGTCGCGCTATTACAGCGCTAAACGGGCCCCTGAAGATAATAGGGCCCATTGGGTGGCCCTAAATGATTGGGGCCACCTGATGGGCCCCATCAGCGTGTGGGCCCCGGTGCAGATGCACCGGCGGCAGTTCCGCTGATCCACGTGGTGCCCGGGCGGCCGGGCCCCCCAGGGCCGCCGGGCCCGTGACAATTGTCACGGTTGTCATGCCCTGATGGCGGCCCTGCAAAGGACATATGGAAATTGTTTTAGAATTGTATCCAGGTGACAGTTTTCCCTATAAACTGACCTCTCAGTGTGACTTGTGAGGGTATTGCCCCAGAATTACAATATTGTTGAAGTACCTCTTAGCTATTGATAACTGGTTTAAATATAGCAGCTTGTTATCTGGTAGTTTCTAGTGTAGAAAATGTATATCAATCTGTTTTCTATCACTTAGATCTGTGTAACAAGTGTTGTAGGTGTGAAACAATATTACAAGTGACCGATGTAGTAAATTCGAATCAAAGTTACATTTGCAAAAAAAATTCTCGCCCATCTTCTGTGGGTTATTGCATTTTTAAGATGTAGACTGATTGTATCACACTAGCCATGCACAGGTAGATTGTCTGGCACATCGTTTTGGTGTTTGGTTTCTAACTTTGTAGTTGTGTCTTTACACAATATAGAAATGTATACTAATGCTTCTGTATATGAAGCGATAACGATAACACTTATTTTTCACTTTAAAAAAAAAAAATCAGGCTAAACAAAAATTGGTAATTAACAATATGACATCTGAAAAGCACCTGAAAGGAAAACACACTACATGAAGGTCCTGTTCACTAGAGTGTGTAGCCATGAATGTAACCAGTAAAACTTTGTTTTTACAGCCACTGGTTGGCCCATACATGTATTAAAACTTGTTTAATTTTGTTATAGCAAGACTTGTAGTCTTGTTTTTAACTTGTCTATAATGCCTATTTTTGTATGACACTTAGTGTGTTTTTTCATGGATTATTGAATTTTAATGGTCTAAGATAATTAACATGTAAACAGGCAAACGTAACCCGAATGATTTGTCTCAGTCTTGCCTTCTATACTATTAAAGTAATGTGTCTGGCACACACGCAGTTGCAAGTGCACTGCACTCTCTGTGGCACTGGGCTCAGGACAGGGTACAAAAATGTAGTATTACAGCACCCACAAAAATAATCGCTGTAGTTTGCAGATTCAACACCAGAATTCTTTCTTAATCTGTCCCTCACTGCTGCAGCATCCTCTCCCTACACTAATAACAGCACATGTGATGTGCAGCACTACGTGACTCCAGCTTATATATAGAGGCTGGGTCACATGCTGCACTGGCCAATCACAGTCATGCCATTAGTAGGCATGGCTGTGATGGATTCTAAGGGCGCACGAGTCAAAGCTTGCTGATTGTCTGCCATGCAGCCTTTCAAAATGCGCCATTAAATCGACGAACACCGAACTCCAACCCGAACATACACTGAAATGTCCGTGTTAGGGTCCGGGATCTAAAAACCGTAATGTTCGGTACGAACCCGAACTTTACAGTTCGGATTCGCTCAACTCTACCCATATTAGACAGGGGTTCACAAATTTCTTGGAAGTCACTTTCAACCGACCGCACGCATGGTTTTATGCCCAAAACAGTTCCAGAGGATTAGGCTGTGTGGCGGGTCTATCTTATCAGTCAAATAATGGGTAAATTGCCGAATGGATCTGTTTGTGCATAATGTTATTGTATGTATCTGGTTAGGTAGATTATTTCTACCGAATAGCGATTAGTTCATGTACTTTTAGGTGAACTTAGGTGGAAGTACAAAAACTGAGTGTCCGATTTTAGTTCCAGGCACTCAACGACCAAACACCCCTGCGTTTGTTTGTGTCCCAAGATGGCCGCCGCCACCACGTGTTTGTCTATACGAACGGCGACCACCCAGACGACTACTTAAAACGTTCGTGTAATTTCGGTTTATGGAGCTGTGAACTGGGTTAATGAGTGGCACACTCCATAGCTGTGTGGTCTGCCATTCGGTAGTTTGTTCGGTTGATTAATAAAACCGTGGGAACCACTTAGGGGAATGGATTTTGATGAACGGCTAGGCAAAACAGAGAAAACCTAAGGTTTCAAAGTAAAGGGGAATATGTCTCACATAGGCGTGCGCACGGGGTGTGTCGGGTGTGCCTGGGCACACCCTAATCAAGCCTCAAAATTGAGGCTCCGTGCTGCACAGCCTGCACTGCTGCCAAAACAATTGGCTATTTCCTCCTGATCCAATCCTTCACTATGCGAGCGGTTTAGCCACATAGTGTAGGACGGACTTGCTCCTTCTTCAGACCTCCCCTGTAGTGTATGTGGGGACGTTTGACAAGTCTTGTTTGCCAAGAATTCCATTTACATACCCCTAGAGTATTGCAATGCCCAGCTTGTGCTAAATCTGCCCATAGCTTTTCCAGCGGTTTTAGACAGTAACAGCTGGAATGCCACAGAGAGCTTGACCGTAGCCTTTAACATATGACCTCAGTGGAGGCAAAACAGCTATTTTTAACACTCTGTGACTTAAAAAAAAATCAGCTCTCTGTATATTTCCAGCAAAGAGTTTATTTGACTTGGCAACTTCTTTTCTGCCGTTTTTACTGCATATTCTATATTTATTTTAAATTTTCCAGCTCATTTAATTCAAGTCTGTAAATCATAGAGTTTATTACTCCTCCCTTCCTGCTGCATTTCAATGTCTCATCATGGTCCTTCCTCGCCTTAAATCTGGTTTCCCCCCAACATTTAGCTTTCCGCACTGGTTTTCCCTAGCTGTAGATTTCACTCGTGGCTTGAGGCTCCAGACCCACATGTGTACCAGATGAGGAATGAGGAATTCAAAAATGATTAGTAAGAATCCAAAATAATCTAGTCTACTGTGATGGGGGACAACTAAATGGCCACACTCAACCCTATCTAGTGAGTATAAAGGGGCAACAGATAGCAAAAGCTAAGTTTAAGCGATAACAATAAAACTTACGAAAATGCAGAAAATAATGATAATATCTCCCAGGGAAGTTTACAAATTATTTTAGCTAAATTAGATGTTTGTGTGTGTGTGTGTGTGTGTGTGTGTGTGTGTCTGTGTGTGTAAATATATATATATATACACACACAGACACACACACACACATTTATATACACATACACGCGGCGTGTGTTTGTGCTTTAGGCTGCACACCCTAATCCAATAGGCTACGCACGCCTATGATGTCTCACACAGTTGTGGTAACTTTCACACATAGGGGAAAATGAAGAGGGGAAAAGGGGGTACGGACAGCCCGGAGTCGGTTTAAAATACGGTAGCAGGGTCCATTCTGCTACAGTCTATAAATGTGAAATCTTTCAAATTAAACTTGAGGCATTTATTACAGTGTCGAGGGACACTGTGTTTGTCACTCTGTTTCCTGATTCCATTAAAGAGTTCATGTAATTTACAGATTGTGCGGCCCACATATTGCGTTCTAAAAGATATACCACATTTTTACTATTACATGTTATAAAATGCTTGATCTCACAACTTTCTCCTGTAACAAAGCTTTTAAAACTGGTGGTTTTCCTTTTTTGATGCTTACAAGTGCTACTGTTGCTGCATCTAAAAAAAAACATTGAGTTGTTTACCTAGAAAGTTGTTTTCTGTTTTACCCATATCTTTTTTAGGGAGAACACTGGGTGCTAGAATAGTTTTTAAATTGTGAGTTTTCCTATAAATGACTTTCGGGCGTTTTGGTAGTATCTTTTTCAAAAAAAGTATCTTGTTGTAAAATTGGCCAATGTTTTTTAAACACTTTATTTTATTCGTATTGCGATTATATTTTGTGATAAATGCCAAATTAAAAGGACTAAAATCAGAAGATACCTTTTTTGGTTTCACTTGTAGAATTTCTTCCCTTTTTTGACTCTCTACTTCCCATTGTGTTTTTAAAATTAAATCTCTAGGATAGTTTCTATCGAAAAATTTCTGATTTAAAATTTTGACTTTGCTTTTAAAATTCTCTTTTTTAGAGCAGTTTTGATACAGTCCCATCTGTTGACTTTCTGGAATGTTTTGTAGCCATATTAGATTTTTTAAACATCAAATGTAACAAATTGACTACTACATATAACCTCTACTGAAGAGTCCTGTGTTATAATGTAGAGGTTGTTCGGATGCTATTAAAGTTTTCCAGGATGGTTGCACATGTGCGCTGGGCACTTCCTAAATGTTTATAGTGTATGATGCACAAGAATGCGCCGAAGCACGCAAAGGGATAGATGATTATGCCTTTGCTCGCATGTGCGAATTCCAAATTGGGCGCGAAGAACTTTGCATTTAAGAAGAGATGCCGGAAGGTCCCACAGATCATCCCCAGTTCCTGAGGAAGTCCTGAATACCTTGGGACGAAATGCGTTGAGCCAGACTACAGTCCAGAGACCTGACTACCACCATTGTTAATACTACTGCAGGTATCCCTTAGCCCCCAGGAGTCACCACCAACAGGGCTTTGAGTGTACCTTACACAACATCTTCTAGTGGCTGGTGCTGGATTTTAAATCCTGGTCTCATAATAGTACTGTCTATTTATATCTATTTTTATATGATAATAAATCTTGTTACTTTTTAATTCTGATTTTGACCATTTGAACTTACTATATCTCAGGTTTTACGCGCCCTCACTTGGTGGTTTGGGATTTTCCCAAACCCCCATATGTATTTGTTTGTATTTGATAAATAACACAGAATCCAAATCAAACTAAAATTAATTAATCAAGAAATGTATCAATCACACTAATCACAAACTTTCCACTGATTACGTGTTGTGTCGTTATACTCGGTGATAAGTTATTAGTACAATGATAACATCTAACAATTTGTTAATAAATATATTTTTTTTTAATTATAGATTTTTATTCATGCAGATTTCAATCAAAAAGTTTACACATGGTTCATAGTTGTATTTTGTTACAGCAACAATGGTCATAAGTAAGATAAAGAAATATACCGGACATTGTAAGTATCCAACATATAACAGTGGTGGTTGGTAGCAATGTCTATTCCCAATATGGTACAGTGAGGGGAAAAAGTATTTGATCCCCTGCTGATTTTGAACGTTTTAATGGTCGGTGTATTTTAACAGTGAGAGACAGAATAACAGAAAAAGAAATCACAAATCCACATGACAAAAAAGTTATAAATTGATTTTCATGTCAATGAGTGAAACAGGTATGTATTGAAAGATATGTATAAACTTTGTGTCCTTTAATAAATCACTGTAGCACTGTGTACACAATGTATTATTTCCAGGGTGGCGGTCCGGTGACCAGGACCCAGTATGCCTGATGTTGAAGTAGGAGTCACAGAGTGGAAGTGGATTAGCAGGGTCTGGTGCAGGGTAACCACACGCCCCCAGGTGTTGAGCACCAGCGTTTGTGCGGCCACATACCAGGACCCTGATGCAGCTACCGCCGATCCCAGGAACTAGGAGCTAGGAAATAAGCAGACCCAGATCACATCAGCTCAATGAAGTGGTCTGGGTGCCAGATCCCTCTAGTTTTAACCCTGCAGCTGAAAACATAGCAGTTTCACCAGCCTCTAGTGGCTGTCTCATTCGGAGCTGAGAGGCGTATAGGGGCGGAGAGATCCCCAGTGTCAAGGGAGTCAGGCGCAGGAGAAAGGTAAGTGCTTAAGACACACACACACACTCTTATGAACAGACGCATACACAATAGCTAACAGACACACACATTTACTGACAGACACACACACACTCACTGACAGACACACACACACACTCACACACACTAACAGACACACGCACACACACTAACAGACGAACACAAACTAACACACTCAGTAACAGACACACACAGTAACACACTCACTGACACACTCAAACACTAACACACACACACTCTAACACACGCACACACACTCTCTAACACACACACACTAACACATACACACACACTAACACACACACACACTCTAACACACACACACTAACACACACACTAACACACTCACACACACTAATACACTCACATACACTAACACACACACTTACACACACACACATTCTAACGCACACACACACACACACACACTAACACACACACTGTAACGGCACCCTCAGCATAAAAGAGTTAAACCGCCGTTTAGTAGATCTTCCCTTCCAGAGACACAGGCACAGCTACTGCAGAACACAAATCCACCGAACTGGAGAAGCATATGAATACTGTAAACAGCCAAACTGGAACCATACAAATGCTGTTAACAGCCGAATAGGAAAAAACATACAAATAGGTTTACACTCCTAGCAGTCAAACTGGAACAGCATACAATAAATCCCCCCAAGAACGAGACAAAGCTCCGTGTTGAGGGTCAAGCAGTGAACAGACAGAGCTGTGGGTTTATTGTTCTTATATACACATTAGTACCACCCACAGGGTTTTGGAACACAACCAATAAACACATACAATACACTCAGACACTCCCACGCAAAATCCTCCCCTCTGCCTGTGATACAATTTACCTTACACAATGGGTAATGTAATTATAACAAGCAGAGAAATACAATTTTTCCACATTATTCATAACTTGAAAAGTATGCATCACATTCACATAACCAGTTCCACAGAGTCTTCTATCCTGGAGATAATTGGGAAGTAATCCAATTATCTCCAAAGACAGAGGCAAAACTCCATTGAATACATGGCAGCACAAGACAATAAAACACATAAAAACATATAACTGTGCAGCCATTGCACAAAACAGGTACATTCAACATATCCCCAGATAGCTCAGATGTGAGCGCACATTATTACTGAATGGCACTGAGAGCACACACATACAGTTCAATTGCCATGGAGCCAAAGTCTTTACCATAGTCTTTCATTATACGAATGGGCTCCATGGCACAGCTATCTGGGGTATCACCGCTCAAACAGGGCAAGCACCAAATGACCCGGCTTTCATGTCTTTGCAGGGAAAATCAAGCCTTTTAACATGGGGCCATAATCCAAAGGCAACAGGCGAGCAACCAGGCTTCTCCAATGCAATGTGGCGAGATTGGTGTCATCACACACACACACACTCATACACACTAACACACACACACACTAACACACACACACACTAACACACACACACACACACTAACACACACACACTCACACACACGTTTTTTTTAAGTTTAATCCCCCCAGCCTCCTTACCTTTGGGAGTGCTGTGGGGATTCCCTGGTGTTCAGCGGTGCTCCTGGGCGGCCACGAGAGAGCACTGTCCCCTGAGTTCTTCCTGTTCAGCTCCTTCTCACGCCGCGTACTGACGTCATATTCCGGCTCTGGTCTCAGTGTGGTGCGAGAGGGAGCTGAACAGGAAGCACTCAAGGGAGAGTGCTCCCTCGTGCACCCGCCAGCCTGCCTGCCGGGTGACAGCAGGGCCAGCCTTGGGGAGCCCTGAGGTGGCCGGCTCATGGGCCCCTCAGGAGAAGAGGCTGGCCACACTGGGTACATACCGGGTCGCAGGGGGGCCGGGACCCCTGGTGGGCCGGGCCCGGTCACAGCCGCGACCCCGGTATGTACACCACTGATAAAGCACATACAGCACTTACCTGCAAAAAAGGCAGAGAACTTGAGCAACTGCCTCCGGGGACAAACTGAAACAAAAGGAATCATGGAAAAGGAACGGGTGTGGCAACATAAAACAAACATATAAAGGAATCCAAGAGACTGGGAATTCCAGGAACGGAGTACAGGAATGAACACAGAACACCCAGCATAAAGAAAACCAGACATGGAATAGAAAACCAGAAAAACTGAACAAGAATTGTAAAAAGAGTACTGGATACCAGAAGCCATTGCCAGAAAGATCCGCAGCTAGGAACAGGATGTGACAATTATCTGATTACGCTGTCCTCATTTCCGGTTTTAATTGTGTTTTATATTTTTGGCAGTAACACTCAATAGACTGAAATCCAAATACAAAAATAAAAGATAAACTGTCTGTACCTGAACGGCCGGAGGATTTGTGTCGATTGATTATCAGATTGTAATCGATTTCCTCGTACACAGGATTGTAATCAGTTAGAGAAGAGAAGGCTGGAAATAAGCAGAAACACGGCTGTATGTACGGTATCTATACATAATCTGACGTATAGTTATATATA